TGTTCCAGTAATTATTTCCGCTTTTTTTTGTGATAAATAAATAAATGAAATCAAATGGTAATATCTCTTAGTTAAATGTGATTCGAAATATGAGAGAAATTTGAGTTTAGTTTTAATTGAAGAATTACTGGCTAAGATTTTTTTAGACTTATCTTTGTCAAATGAGTCGAGATTTAAATGTTGATTAATGTAATTCATTTTTAAGTACTTCGAAATGAAAACAATCCTACTATGAACTTGTAGTTGAAATAAGTGTAAGGACATATGTAGAATTATTCGATCTGTATAGATAATGAATGAATAGAAATTTCTCAAGACTGACTTACTTTTTCTAACATTTAAATAGAGTAGTTCTCTCTTTTAAACCATTAAAAATTCATTTAATTAATTTTTTAGAAAAGAATCTAGGAAAATCAATTTATGTTGCATGAAATATTCATAATTGACTAGATGGTATTCGAGTTTCACTTGACTGGAAAATCTGGTCCAAAGCTGCCAATGTCGATTAATGGAATAATCGTTTGGACAAATGGAATGAAATTATTTTCTCTGAAAGATAATCAGGCTTTTTCTGTTACTGTGAGTGGCAAAAGTTACATTCCGACCAACCAGACGATCGACGTCAGAAAGAAACTATGAAGTAGCCATTACAAAATTCACCGTGAAGAGAATTCTATAAACGATTCATATCTCTCTCATCTATAGGCAAATAGAGTAGTGACCAAATTAAGCTTGTGTTTTTGGACAGCTTCCTGTAAGAAAATAGAGAAAATGGATGTTATCAATTTAATCATTAGATTGCATTCTTGCATTTGAACGAACATTTTCTGACTTTTCCTTTCTGAGATTATTACCACAGAAATATGAGAACTGTTGATACATACGTCAAGAAAGAAGAAACGGAAAAAGCTCATGAATGAGTACATTCACTACGGATTTCGCTTTGATCTGCTTTGATCACTTCATTCTCTCTAGATGAAGAAAAGATTTTCACTACTATATTTGAGCACGATTCAGCACTCATGAAGCTCTTTACTCAAAAAAGATTGAATAATAACAAGATCGGTGAGGAACTGGTGAATAACCATGACGAGTCTTCTTCGTCATCTCGCACATCTGAGACTGATTAATGGCTTCGGTACAATTCAGCTCTTTTCGAATAAAAAGTTTCATGAATGCACGATATCTGAATCATTTTCAGACACAGTAGTGAAAGGGTGTGGGTGAGAATACGAAAAGAAAACTCATACACACATCATTCAAAACATAAAATTTGAAATTATCATCACTTGTCCCTGTTTTTCACTTCATCTCAATCGAAATAACATCGACATCGATTCATATAACTATTTCTAATTTGCATACTAGCTCTTATCTATCTTCTCAAGCATTTTTTAAATTCTCATGCTATAACGTTTCATTTTATTTTTTTACTTAGCTCGGAGTGAATATTCTGCTGAATTCTCTCTTAAGATATAATAAGTACATCTGAATCTTAATGTGGTACTCCCTTCCTGGGTCATTTCAATGATCGTCATGAACTATTAGTTAATAAAAAGTTATTTCTTTTAAGTAAAATATTTTCATACTCACAGAGAAGATACATGATGAAGATATGATGTGTAATATACATATATATGTAATGACTATCATCACTTACTACTGATATTCATAGCATTCAAAATTTTTAAAGAAGCTAGATAGACAACAGATCGTAAGATACAAAATAGTTGCTGAGGGATATCTAGAAAATCATACGTCTAGTTTTCTAGCACTTACAAATCAGAAGTATAAATTTTTTTCTCACTACGTCTAATGATTGACCAAGCAATTCTCTATCAAATGAGACGTTTCTTGGCCAAACCATATCAAATTTAAAGAAAACCTCCAGCAACATCTTTTTGTCAAGTCGTTATTTTCCCGATGACCACTACCGTGCATAAATTACCGGAATAAAAACTAGAGTGAAGCGGAACAATCAATACACACTATGTGAAATAAAGGATTGGAATTAAAGTTTCATCTGAATTCGAAATATGTTTCTTCGTTAACTCTTCTCGATTAGAATCTCCCGCCATGCGCAAGACAGCATCAAGAAAATTTGTTAAAGACTTTTCACAGTTGATATTTTTGACAAAAATGTAAAAATAGAACCGATCTATTGTTTCCTTATTAAACAGATATTCGGTGTTTTTAGTAATTTATCAACATAACTTGAATATTTGAAATGTCTTCGCATGGCTTCGGTAAAAGATTCTTATAATTCGTTCTCGTATGAGGCTAAGATAAAGAACAACATAGAAAATTGCAGTTTTTTCATTTAATAACTATCCCTTTCTCAACAAATTCGAACCAAATTAAAGAGCATGATTATATTTTATGAATTTGTTTTTATATTTTATCCGCATTTTTTTATGTAGAAAAAATAGAGAATGTAAGAGTGGAAATATGCCTATAAAGTTAAACCTATGAGATTTGTTTATACTTTACGTGTGAATTTCATTTGATATTTTTAAGTGAAATCAATAAAGGATGTTGATCAACTTGACACAGTACAAGTTATTTTGTGTTTGTAACATAAATCAAGTTGATATTAGTCTTACAACATGTGGGAGTCAATATAACATAACAGAAGAATTTTTTCGATAAAAATGAAAAATGGATTTACAAGTCGAATATGTTCAAATAAATGTTGATCGTGTTATATGGTCAAATCTTAAATATATTGTATTGATTATTACAAATTTATATGTTTGATTCTTTTTTTTATAATAGAATGAAATGAAACAATTTGATTTTATCTTGTAGTAAATCATTTAACAGATTGCAGTAAAATCTATATAATTTGTACAACGCTAGAGCTTTCGACCCATACCAGGAGTCACCATCAGTAGAATTTTGTTACTATGGAACTGATAGAAAAGAGCCCTGTAAATATATTTGATTGTATTATAATTAAAATTTTGTAGTTACATAGGCACTTGATCAGCTCAATAGCAACACAATCCTACTGATGATGACTCCTGATATGCGTCGCAAGCTCTAGTGTTGTACAAATCAAATTAATTTTAATATTATTTTCTAGATGATTTCGCAAAAAAATAAAATAAAATAATTTCGTTTTATTCCATTATTATATAAAAGTGTTATGAATATATTATTTCTATTCTTTTTTTGTTCATTTTAATTTACTTATTTGTCCCCGTTTAGACACGAAAAACTAGAATCATCTAGTTCATCAACGATTCTTTTTTTTTCTTACGTTTGCTCGAATACGAAATAATTGTTTAAATGTTGTAGATCAATTTTTATTCAATGTAGAATATTTTAAATGAAAAATGTTTTTCAATAATGATGCCATTGAATCATGTTATATTTTCAGATATTGATTTGTCAATCACGTATTAAAGTACTGGGTAATGCCAAGAGAATAAGGACATATGTGAGAAATTGATCGTCGACGAAAAAAAGATGACAATGATCACTTCATCAATTATTGAGTTCATGAGAATCAATTGTTTTCTTTTCGATTTCGATCATCAATCTTTTACTTGATGGAGACAAAAAACCAGTGAAACGCCATTGATTAATTATTCAACAATGATCATCATTGACTAACAGTTCATGTCTCAAACATACATATATAAGGAATGATTTTCTTGTATGAAATCATTCTGTCGAAACAAACATCTCATCATCAACACATCGAATAAGTAGTCTAATGATTTTATTTTTAGGAGGTGCAATATACATTTATTATAATGAAATTTATACAATCATACAGTACCGTATCATTATTTACAATGTTTCGAAGTCGAATGTTAACATTAATTATTAACTTACGTAATGATTCATGTATTCCAATCTCAAATCGGGTATGTTGCTTGTTTTTTTTCTTGAGAAGGAGAATAGAGAGATAAAACAGTTACTAACTATGTTTAGTCTTTTTTCTTATTGAGATAGAAATAGATATTAATAAATTGAAAAGTCCTAGTGGCCAATAGGACTTTTCAAGTTATTTTTTCGATAAGGTAGACATAATCTATTCCGAATGGAATATTTTCTTTCTTTGTAGAAGTAGAGTGAGCTACCAATTTATATCACAGTCTGTCAGGTGGCTTTGTTACCTGACCCAGGGAGATTTCTTGTGCCTGTGATGGTGAAAGCAGTGTAGTACTCGGGAGGGTCGTTATATTCGTAGGTATCTGTTGCTGTTTACGTACGTCATATCTACGTTCATTACCTTACCAGCCCGGCGTGGTTCGCTCTGCATGTACCCATTTTGGGCTTACAGGTAGAGCCCTGCGGTTCCAAAAATATTGGAACCGAACCGGATGCGAAATTTTTCAGTTTCTCAGATCCGGAACCGTTGGAACCGAAAATTCTTTTTTTATGACAACTAGAGTCATTTATATTTTGTCGTTTTTGGATCACTTTTGAAAAAAAACATTTTTTCATCCATTTATGCAATAGAATGCTAATTGTAAGCGTACAGAAAGAAACAAATAACTCACAGTAAAACCTCTCATAGTGGATACCCTTCTAGAGTGAACACCTCGTTGTAGTGGACACTTTCACGATGCCTCTTGCATTAATAACCTCTGTATAGTAGACACTAACTATGAATTCAAAGAGAATGTCGCAATAACTATCATCGTTGCATATGAACATTTCATATTATATGGATTTCCTCATGTGTTTTTCTTTTCCTTGTATCTTTTGAAGGAACTGCTTTTCAATAAATTAATAAACATGAACAATGATAAAAATCTAGAAATTTCTGAAAAAGCCTACTACAAATTATTATGTAATATATCACCAGATCAACGGTTCCCATCACCCCTACCAGAATCCGAAAGTGGAATCGCCGGGCTCTACTTACAGGAGGTCTCCCTGATCGCGCACTTGTACGCGAAAATGAGCCAAGAAAAGTCGGGAGGTGAGATGAATAGCAATCAAACTTAATTTATTGAGGAAGTGAGAAGAAAAAAAAAATTTGTTTACATTTTCTTTTTCACAGTGTTAATGCTTTTTATTGTTGTTTTAATAGTTGGATGTGTTGGTGGAAGAGAGCTTTGTTCGATGGCAAGTGTCTTTTCTAGATATGAAAGTGCTTTCGCGTAGTCACCTTTGCCGGAATAGGCCATGCCGATGTTGTTGTAGGAAATAGCCAAATGAGGATGATTTGGAGGCAGAACTTTTTCTTTTATTTTAAGTGCTTTGTCGTTAAATTCAAGTGCTTTCGAGTAGCTACGCATGCTGTAGTACGCTGCAGCGATGTTGTTGTAGGATTGAGCCAAATCAGGATGATTCGAAGGCAGAGTTTTTTCTCTTATTTTAAGTGCTTTGTCGTGAAATTCAAGTGCTTCCGAGTAGTTACCCATGTTTCTACACACTTCACCGATGTTGGTGTAGAAAGTAGCCAAATCAGGATGATTTGGAGGCAGAGATTTTTCGTAGATTTTATGTGCCTTTTCGTAAAATTTAAGTGCTTTCGGGTAGTTACGCATGTTGCTATACACAAGACCGATGTTGTTGTAAGTGTAAGCCAATGAAGAATGATCTTCTGGAAGAGTCTTTCGCTTGATTTCAAGTGATTTTTTGTAAAATCCAGCTGCTTGTTTGTATTGTCCTTGATCGTTTTTCAAAATCCCAAGCTGGTGATAAGTAAATGCTTTATCACTATCTCTGGAGGCGTTCTCGAGTAACTCATTGTAAAATTCTTCAGCTTGATTGAAGTCACCTATTATCAGCATCAGTTTGCCCATTCTATCCCATCCAGTTGATCCCTGAGTTTCCTCTCGCATGCGATTGGTGAGAGAAGCCAATTGCGGATCATTGTCGTCTGTGAGTCTTAATTGAACTTCCCATAGACGACTGTTGCTGACTGTCTGCTTGATATCATCGACACGAAAAACTGTGTGCATTGAGAATAAAATTTCTTTTTCGCTTTCGATAGCACTGTATTCGTCGATGAGGGCAAATGGAGTAGCCGAAGTTGAAATTTTACTTGAATCAATTGTCATGATGAAAAGGACACCCACGATGTCTTTATTCTTGTGCATGGTACGTTGAACGAATTCCATGGCGACCTGTTGCTTTGTACTGGTAGATAAGAAGTTGTTGAATGAGAGCAGACCACCTTTTATATCAAGTAGATGCTCAAAGTCTTGTTGAGAGAGTCCTTGACCACGATAAACGATAAATTGTTTTTTATATGTATTCGACTGTTCTTGGTGCAGTTGTTCTAGTTGTCGATGAAGGTTACGGATAAAGAAGCCCATTTTTGCCATGATTTCCATATCTAGTGATCGCAGGGCACAGTTAAGCATACTGTACACAAAACTTTCACAAGTATACCACCAGACTGACGTTTTCTTGTGGTACTCACGCTGAAAACGTTCCAGTTGAAACTCAGGAATGTTTTTGTTGCGACAGTACTTTACTAATTCTTTCACTAACTTAGTATCGTCCTCATTGATTTCAAATAGGATCTCTTTGAATAGTACCGAATACATGTAGGACGGGTCCAGTTGGTCGAGATTTTGCTGATCCGATCCTGATGCTGTTACAATCTGTTTTGGAACGAAACTCATTGGTATTGCATCATGATCGCATTCACGGGCGACCTTTATCAATGATTCGCAAATGGGTTGGATTGAAGTGAAAACACCTTCAATTTTCGGCCATTCTTTCGTCCATTGTTCATGTAGCGCTTTGTTACCACAAAAGATGTAAATGGCATTTACTTGTGCCATCTCATGAATATCTGATACGAGATTCTGACCAAAAGCTCCTGAAGAGATGACGAAAGCTTTCTCGTTATCCATATCATTGAGAATTTCAATGCATTGTGCCGGCGTCGTGCAGAGATTAATCTCGTTGACAACACTGCGCAATCGCGTTAGCGTATTTTGACAATCCTGATTTTCTTG